AGTGTGTAAGTAGACATTTTGATGAAAAGGCTCAAATAAATCTGTTAGAAATGTTGTCAGTTGTTTAAGTTTTAAAAGCTGTAAGTGTGACTGCATCTGAATGTACTCGACTCGTGAGGATTTGGGGATTTTCTTCCTTGAAGATTTGTTATAGCTTTGTTTTCACATTCTTGATCTCAAGCCAAGGGCTCTATAGTCAGGAATCAGTCAAGTTTTTGTGACTCTGAGAAGCAGGTTGTTTTGAGGATTTGCCTGTTTTTTGGGCTCTGGGGTTAAATGAAGGTCATTTTCAGTTTGGAGGTCTGTGCTGCTTCTTGCTGGAGTGACTTCTTTGACCACTTATCTCTCCTATACTCTTCTTCCTTCAGGATTCTTCATAACGGCAAAAAAACAAACATCTATCCCTTAAGTTCTCAACCTCCCGAACATGCTCCTTCCTGCACAGTCACAGCGGATTTATAGGTGTTAGTGTTGAGCATAAACACCTGATGTTTAGCTTGTCAAAAGTTATTTTGCACTTACAAGTCAGTCCCTGCCTGCGTGCTCTCCTACCAGCACTTGCAGACGGATTACAGCTTGAATTAGCTTTATGCTCGTTCAGTTATTTAAAATCTTTCTATACTTAAACCAAGTTCTGTGCAATTCTGTTGACGGCTCCTTGGGACTACAAGCTGTGACTTTCCGTTTTTGAGCTCTAACACCAATTAAATGTGGGAAAAAGTCAAGCAGGTTCAATGTGTTTTGACAGCATTTTAAAAAAGGTGAAGATTGATCAGCCCCCATGTGCGTTGTTGACCAGCTGGACTCTCAGATTCCCTTTTCAAAACTCATCGCAGTCTTGCCAGCCTCGGATCCCATTGACCATATGCTTCTCCTGATGAACATGTTGACACACTTGAGTTGGAAAAAAACTCCAGACTTGTTCCTGTTTCTAACACTTTCTTTATCAATGATCATCGAGGAACTACTGTGACTCTGAACCATGCAGGAGTTATAGTCCCAAACCACCAGCTTATTAACCATTCATAGTGTCAGACGTGTTATTAACTGATATTACAGCAGAGTCTGCTTCATAATTTCACCCAGGAAATACAAGAGTCGGTTTTTTATTACTTTATAGCTTTAGTGGCGCTACTTACAACCCTCTTATGTTGAAAATGGGCAAAACTGAATAAAAAAACCAGATGAGGAGCTCGCAGCCAGTGCCCAGGCCCGGATGAAATGGAAAGTAGTTGGCAATCAACTATGGGTAAGGAAATCTAATTGCCATGTTATAATAGCCTCCTATTGCTTGGACAGACGTGGGTTTGATAAATCATTTTGAAGCCACTTTTCTCCCTGTGTGGAAATACTTAGCTACAATGGGGAAAAGCCTGTAATTTTAGCTGAGCTTTTGTTAATTCACTCATTCATGGAAAAACAATGTAACTTATTTAGTCTTCAAGCATATTTTCCCCCCCAAATATTTCATTAAATTGGGATAATCGTGGCTAATTTAGGAGTTTGTGGATGGTTGTAGCTTGAGTTCTCCCTAACGGTGGAAACCTGAAGTGTACTCATTTTGATAGGAAAAAAAAGAATTTATTTTGACAGTTAAAGAGTTTATTGGACCAAAAACTCTGGTTCACTTTTTGTCTGGATCACACAAACACAAATGCACACACAAACTGACCTGAGAGGGAAGACTGCATATTATTCAAACTCTGGTCCAGCAGCTGAGATGGTAGAAAGGAGTTTTCCTTCTGCTGGGCCTCCGCTGGTCTACCTGAGGATGCGCTCGTTCCCTCCTCGGGGTCTCCAAACACTTCCGTCCACTCTCGAGAGAAGTCGCCCTCATCCACAGACATACTGCCCAGAATCTCATTCAGTAAGGCCATGCTGTCCTTGTCCTCTCCCTCTAACTCTGGATAGGCAGAAAGAGGATCTTCCTTCCCTAGAATGATCAGGTAGAGTGAGGACTTTATACATAATTATGTAACATTAATACACTAATGTAACTAATGATTTAACTTTGATTTAGCTACTTATCTTCCTGTGCTGTTACTATTTACTTCGCACAGAAACTATTAACTAAACTATTAAATTATTGTATGTTCTACATTGTTTTGCTTGTGTAAATTGGTGTGAAAGTAACAATTGAATCAATTAGTTGATTGGCAGAAAAATAAATCAGCTGATTTAATAACTAATCAATTGTTTAAGTCAATTTTTAAGCAAAAATGCCAAAATTTCACAGGTTCCAGCTTCTCAGATGTTAAAATTTGTTCATTTTCTTTGCCTACTATTATAGTAAATTAAATATCTTTTGTATTTTGGACTGTTGATCAAAACAAGCAACTTGAACACGTGGTCTTGAGCTCTGAGATTTAAATGTTTTACTATTTTATAGACATTTTATAGATTAATAATCAAGACAATAATCTGCTTTATTTCCATAGTGTATATATAATACTGTAAAAAAAACTGACAGTTATAATAGTATTATCTTTTACCTTCTCTGGTCTTATCGCTGGTGTTTTCATTTCCTAGTGAGATGAGTCTTAAAAAACGACAGAGATCAGTTTATAACATTTTGCGCATACATAAGGCAACAGATGTATAGAAATATTGCTTTTATGTTCAGTCCAGACCGGTCCAGTGTTTCTAAAGATGTTCTCTGTTTTCACTGTTGGCATGCGTGTGTTTGATCTACCTGCATAAAGATCAAGGTGAGATAACTCACCGGTAGTCTGTGTTCGCCGCTTTCTTTCCATCTTCTGCCTCTGCTTTAATTTTCTTCTTCCCCTTCTTCTTAGCCAGCTTGTCCATGGGGTCTTGTAAGGTCTGAAAGAATAACCAACTCACTGATTATTATCATTAACTGTAGCAGTGTCAGAATTTAGAGCTCATCTGTGCAGGTCAAGATGATTCTCTGACCTTAAGTGTGGAGAACTCATAATGCTGACAGCCCTTGAAGCTCTCATGAATGGCTGCCATAGTGTGGGACGTCTTCTCCCAGAAGTGCAAAAGTGTTGTCTGAAACAGTAGAACAATCCAAGGTCACACATTCAGCTGCTTGTGTTAAAAGCAATGATTCAGTTCATTTGCTTCTCATGTCTAGACTGCAGTGTTTCGCGTGGTCTGAAGTTAAATCTCCATCTCTTGAATTGCTTTGTTCCCTTCATGTTTGTCTTCCTTCCTGCCGTAACCACATGTGGTAGAGCCATTGAAAACACCCTATTTAAGATCAATGGAGTGTAATGCAAACAACTGGGATTTGTGGTGTACCTGGTATGTGGTTAAAACGTGAGAGAGGAGGTTGCAGCGACTGGCTCCCAGCAGGTCTACTTTCTGGCAAACATCATTCTTCAGTTTGTCAAAGCTTGTTTTGGTAGTGCGCACCTGGGCTTGAACCTGAGATAGAGTAGATAAGAAAATGTCCCAACTGAAGGTAAGCAGCCAGTGTTATGTATCACACAAGTTTGAACATTGAAAACAAGCACTGGAGTTCAAGTTTGTGCAAGTGTAAGTAACTGAAGTGTAAGCATTTAAAGCATGCTGGGTTCTTGGAGAGAACCAATGGACCATCATTCAACGGTGTATTCTGCCCTCTAGTGGCATGTTTTGATATTTTTTTCCCTGATTGTATGCAGTTTGTGTTTGTGTGGTCTTATATTGGGTCTGAATCTATGAGTCAATCTAGTAATTAACAGCAAATACTTCTAGTTGGGGGCAGTGATGTTATTTTCATTTTCTCTCATATACTGTGTTAGCAGGTTTCTGACATTATTACTCTTATTCTATTACTCCAGCCAGGAATAGCAAGCTAAACAAGAGTATACAGTATATACAGTACCTGTAACCTGTAATTGCTGTTGTATAAGCACAGGTGCAACTAATAACCTTAAATGGTTAATTGAATGCATTCATTTTTCTACCTTAAGGGACATCTTAACAGATGATTAAGCATGACAAAAATTTCAGATTATTTTGACCAAAATAATTGCAATACACAATATTTTTACGATATTCATGAAAATATACTTAATACTTTTAAAATGGCACTACTGGAATCATTTTCTTACATTTTGTTAAAAACCACTTACTTATAGGCACATCATCTCCCTGTTCTGTAATTTGAAATCTATATTATTTCCACACAAAAGCGAGTCAAGCCTTCAGCTGTGGTGACAGGCTTAGGATTTTGGAATAGCTGGAAAGATGCAGGCTTTCTCTTGTCCTCTTGTTCAAAATAATTACGATTATCACGTGCCTTCATTCTAAGTGATCTATCATTCTTATCAAACTAAATGGAATAGAGCGATTACATGTTATTGGTTATACCTGTGCTTTCTGCTTTGACAGAACAATGTCCGTGTGACAGACAAACCTTGCGGAATTTCTCCATTTGTTTATGTGTATCTGGATCCAACTCCTGAGACACATCCTTCATCCAAAGCAGTGCTCCGCGGTACTCGGTCCTGGACTGCTCCATTCGATTCACCGTGAGCCACGTGTCTGAGATTGCTCGATAGCGAAACGTTTCAACCTCCTGGTACAACCGGCACAGAGGGTTCCTCAGAGCCAGTCTGTAGGATGTAGTGTCAAATTTAGTATTCATGTGACAAATTTGACATTAATTATCATTACCAAATTAGTTTTAGACATTCCTAGATCTTCATACAACTTATAGTGCACAGCAAACTTAAACAGTAGATAAGTACTTTGTCTTATTTTTGAGAAACAAGCAGAAGCAGAAACAAAGTCACTAGCAGGACATAGTCACATTTGTATACCACCAGTTTACCAATTATTTTCCAGTATTCTAAAGGTAACACAATAACTCTAATATAATATTGTATTAATGTAAACTTAACTTGGTATTATCAGACATTATGTGTTGTTGTTTTGTTTCATATTTCTAGTTAGCAGACTGTGACACAGATTCAGAAATCAAATAAATTCAATCCATTTTGTAATAGAGTAAATGTATCGCTGCTGTTTTATCTCTGCTCTGTAATTGTTATTATGCAAATCCTGTTGGTGAACATTTCCATAAATAAATCTGGGATTACATTAGGACAAATAAGATACTTCTCTCTGTTCCTTTTTTTAATAGTAGGAGATAAAATGGACTGACCTTTTACATAAAACTATTTTCTAGTGCGGCTGTAATTTGTGTGTGAATGTGAATTGTCTGGATGTTTTCCTAAGGAAGTGCCATACATCTGTCATACCTACCTCTGTTGGGAAGAAAAGCAGAGTGCTTTCCCTGTGGCTTGCATTATCTTTCCAGCCCTGGTTTTATCCTGTGAGCCTTGGGAGCGCAGGAAACGACCCAGCTCGTTCTCCTCCTGGGAAAGCACTGCACAGTAGAGATGGGGAATGTAGTCATAAGATTCAGTCTCGTACAAACTTAGAAAACCTAATATTGCAATAAGTAAACTGGAATGAGTATGTAATTCAAGATATATTTCAAGATAGTATTCCTCTTTTATATCTTAATCACAAATAGCCCTTTAAATAAATGCATATTGTATATAGGAATGCACATATCTCAATCACCATCATGGTTTCGGGCGGTTTGTGTGATCCTCAGAACTGTGTTGTTGGGGGCAACAATTCCAGGTAGGGTCTCCCAAGGCAAGGAGATTGATATTTAACTATATACCACAGTGAAACGTACTGACTTGTACACACCGGCAACAATTTCCATTAGTTAGTTAGAGACAGTGCAGCCACAGCAGAGCAAGCAAAACCATGTTCCTTGTCTGCCTAGCTCTTGCTTTTGTGGACATAAAGTAGCTTGCTATGCAAACATTAGACAAACTGGAGCTCTATCAGTTTGTGTGTGTGCCAGTTTAGAACTTAAAGCAAGAGACAGCATGCATTTTATGTGACTGACGGCAAGGAAACTGTTACTGAGATAGTCTTGGCCATAATTGTAGCGTGAAAATTGGATACTGGCAAGCTAGGGATGTGCCAGTATCCAATTTTCATGCTACAATTATGGCCATCTTTAACCAAACTCCTGCATAGGAGCTGGAGTCTGTTTTTCCAGAATCCGTCAGGGATTAGAAGTGCTGGTGGCTATGAGAATCATACTTATTAACTTCCTGCTGTAGCAATGCTTTGTTTTCCCTGAGAATGACAGGGGTGCCTCTATGTGTTGCTTAGCATAGATAGAAAACTCTTTGACTGTTGCTTGTACCACTGTACTAAAGTTCAAAGTACCCGGCCTTCTTGGAGTCTATGGTGGGGTCCTGGTTGGGTGTTACCTGTGGACTGCTGGACACTCACATTTGTAATGGAGGGGTGGTAATTGGGAGGATTTGTATGCCTGATTTGACCTCTAGTGGTCTTTTGTTAGAAAACCTCTGTGCTCATCCACCATCTGTAACGGCCACAACATTGAAGCACAAGGTAGTTCATAAGGACAGCTGGTACCAGAACACCTTTAGGTTGAAGATCGATGATCAACTTTGTAGTTGTATTGTCTGATCTGGTAAAGAGAGCAGCAGAAATGTCAACTGATCACCACCTGTCGATGGGTTCAATCAGGTGTTGAGAGAAGCTGCTGGACAGACCTGAAGAACAAGGTGATGAGCTCAAACATCCAGAAGGAGCTTGGAACTGTTGCTCCTTTGCAAAGAGTCAGAGTTCCTCCTGGATGTCTCCTTGTGGAGGTCGTCAGGGCATGTTCAATGTGTCCTACTGGAATTTAGCTGGGGCAAATAACTGACGATTGGATATATGTTCATAGTGCAAAGTAATTTACGAATGGCTCTTAAACTAAGTATTTCATGGATTACTAATATGATCCGCTGTGAACAGTTCATACTTTCATTGTTAATTTAGAGTTTTTATACTATATTATACTTATGCTGTTTATTTGAACGTACGGCAGATCCTCCTCTGGTACTGCTCGATAACCTTTAGTAGCTCCATGCATGTTCTCTGGACGGAGTGGAAGACCTGCAGAACAGAAGACAATCGGTGTAAAACTAAAGTCAAACGAACAACGCCTGATCATTGTGGAAGTTATTCTCCGTGAAGTCAGACTTCTTGTGGAGCACACTGTCTGAATATGCCTTAAGTTGTCCATGATACCTTTTTTTATTGATTTTAAAAAACTACACCAATGAAACATTAAAGCCTTTATGAGGTAAAAATAGAAGTATTAAAACGTCACATCAAAGCTTTAAAAAACGAGCTCTGATCTGTTATGTAGAGATCCAGTTTCGAGTGGTTTATCACCATTCTTATCGAGGACAATGCCTGAATTAAAGCTGGATGTTTCGGCTCTTATGAGGTATCGATTTCAGCCATTAAATTCACTTCACTGCCGAAATGGAGGCATAGATGATGGAGGTTAGAGAGGCGGCTTAATGTAAGTTTCAAGCCTCGAGCAAATACTGGCACAGTGTGAATCAAAAAGCCATTTTAGTCACTGCAGAGTCCACCTGAGGGAAAGTATCTCCATTGTTTCCTAATGTTTCTGCAATGTTATCGAGGCCTATGGTAACCAATCCTGACTTTCTGTTTCCGGAGTCACTTAACATGCCACAAGCCCCCCCCGACACTTTCACATTCCTCCTAACCTCCAGCTTGGCATCCAGATCTGCGTCTGACGCCACCACATGCTCGTCCTCTTTCTTCCCGGTGACCTTGATGAGCGTCTGTTTGGTTTTCCAGTACTTCTGCTGGAACTTGTTTACCACAGACGAGTCTTGGCTTTGGATGAAGCGGTCCAGATAGTCTCGGGAGTAGCCACTGCAATGACACAGGGGTTGGACCGATGTTAAGACTTCTGCTCTCTCTCTCCCGTAATGATCTGGGTTAGAACTCATTGACTGGTGTGCAACTGGGTGTAAACACAAGAGCTATATACTCACAAATGTCCTCCCTCCATTTTTGATGATTACCTGTAGAGAAAGCAGAGCAGCTTAAAGTCCTTCTCCATAGTTTGACAGACGTAGTGGGGCCTTTTCCCAAATGTTTAGCAAACCAAAGTCAGCAGAAAGCTTATATCTTTTGTAAATTACAGCTACACACCATTTCTGTGTGTAAAAATGTGCATTACAGAATATGTACTTTGTAAAATCCATGTTTCTGTCAATGCTAACATGGTAAAACAAAGACTGTGTACATTTTGCTCTATCATTTTAACTAGATCACTTTTTAGTGGTTTAAAAAATGCGGACTTTTTTAGTAAAAGCTGATCGTTAAAGGTTAGAATATTTTCCCTCGATACGTCAGTGAGGTGTTCTGTGTCTTCATTATACGTCTCAACAATACAAACCAAACAGAAGCACAGTATAATATTCACATTGTTCATAACATTAAGGATTCAAAAGTCTGTCAGCACAACATCTGCCTGGATACAAAATGAAAAAAACACCTGTGGCACAACCAAAGCAAAACACCACCTGTATATTAATACACTGAATCCTCATAATGTTAACTAAAGAGCATACACACAAATGTCTATTGCAAGGTGGGGATTATTGTAATTATTGGGTATCTTAACCTATAGTATTATCATTTATTAGTTGATTTATAGTTGTTATATGTAAAAATCTAAACAGCTATCAAATAAATATAGATTTCCCTCCACAATGTAGAATAATACAGTAACATAAAATGAAAATACACGTATAAACACACTTTCCACCACTGAACCTTATGCAGGAGGTGACTCACACTTCCTAGTAAAGTAAAGAGCATATAAAGGCGTGAGGACCTCTCCACTGCAGCTATAAGTCACAGTAAGGTGTGACTGAGCTCTTATTTGTGTTCCTACCATCCCTCCCAGCAGCGTTCAAACACTAACCAGAGCACATTTCACTTACAGAGCAGATCTTTGAAGCTTTAAACGTTAACATCAGCAGCAGCTCCATCAGCACCGAGGACGCAATGAATAAATAATCAGCTCATTTCACGCGTCACGACTCCTCTTAACACGATGGGATATGATGATGCTGCTATAAACGCACAGAGGGAATACATTGTGGCACAAATACGCACTTATATCCGGATTTAAGCATCCGCATATGAACACCACACACAATACATCCGCGTCGCACCAGAATAAACACAACAGCGCCTGACTCACCGCACTGAGGCAGCGTCTCCCTCCCCATCGCCCCTCATTCTTTCATCAACACACAAATGAGCAGATATCTAAATAAACCCGCAGTGATGTCGCACACGTACCTCTCCGCGGTGATAACATGTATGAAACAGCAGGTTATATTCCTCCCATCGCCTCTCTCTCTCTCTCT